AGCTAGACCTTTCCTCGTGTATATGATCATAAACTGCTGATGTAGAAAATACCATGTATCACTTAACGTAATAATCTTAACTGCTATAAGAATTATTAGGAAATAAATGGAGAAAAAAAGCAGATAACTGTTGGTTTATAGAGCAGGCAGATGTTCAATGACAGTGCAGTTCTGCTCTTCTCAATAAAGCGATCATAGAACTGGAGGAAGTTTGGAGCGTGATGGTGCAGGCTCCTGTGTGAGAGTACCTGCATGGGCTTGTGCTTCTTGGGCTGCAGGAGCAGCTGAGGAGGGGTTGGGTCTGAAACCTGGAGAGAGCAGGTGGCAATTGCTTTCTCTTACTTCCAAAATAAGTAAGGGACATTAAATGAAGCTAAAAGTAACCGGGCTCAAAACAGAAGAAATACCCATACAATGAAGAACAAAACTGTGAAACTCCTTGCCAAAAGGATATTGTGAATGCTAAAAGTTTTTGTGGATCCAGCTGGAAACTGATGGCCTCATCTGAGGGCTGTTAAATACCTAGAATCGCAGTTGGTGAAGGATGTCTCAAATGAAAATGGGTGGAGATTGGAAAAGTTCCAAGAGGAAATATTGTAAATGCTCACTCTATTCCTGATCTTCTCTTAACATATCCTTATGGCAGCTGTTTAACACATGATACTGAGCTGGATGGACTTTTGCTCTGACCCAATATTGCCAATTTTAAGTACTAGAAACCAGTTAAGTTATGTTTTAAATTATATTTTATGTGAAAGCATGCACATTACTGTGCTGTAACACTGCCTATATCTGCAATGTTCAGAACATTTTTCTTTAGTAGAATTTGACCTTCAGTGTTTGCCTAGCCTTCCATTTGCACTGTACTTGTCCAGAATGGGGGCTTTTCTTCTGCATCAGCCACCTCTGAATCTGAGCTTTTCTATCCTTACTAATGACTACTTGGTCTATTTTAAAAGAGGGGTATGAGGAAGCAACAATGTGAAGATTGCTCTGAACGCCGCAAGAAAAGCTTATTCAGGTTTTTGAAAATTTCTCCCATTCACTATTAACCACTTCATGACTTTTCATTCAATATTTGTATATTTTCAGCTGTAGATCTTTTGTTCCCCTCTTGTTTGCTTCTTCCTGAGTTCCACCTACTTCTGAGTTATATAACAATTTTGATGGCTTTTCTGTAAAAAGAGCTCTAAGATGCTCTTCATTTGGCTTTGTTGGCCATGAAAGTAGGCTTCCTCCAAAGAGGATAGGTGTGAGTTATAGTTGTTATATTATAGTGTCTAAGATCATGTCAAAGGCATAATTATTTGAGTTTTTTTAATCTCATGTTGTAGAATATCGTGATTTTAATAGTGGAAGTAGCTAGCTAACCTATTTCTGAAGTAATACTAAGTATGAAGGAACAACTGTGTGGATTAAACAAGCTGCTACTGAATCTAGTCTATGACTTAAAAAAAATGCTCGTCAAACTCAGATGAGGTTTCATATAGGCCCATGGGTTAATGTTCTTTTAAGGAAAAAAAATATCTTTATTGATAGATGCAATTTAAAGAATGTATATTTTATGTCTAACAATCTGCCAATAGGTTAATTTTGTAAGAATTGCAATAGAGTAGCAGACTGTATAGGAATTGTTAGCTGTAAGTGCCTTGGAAATATTGCTCATATATGTGAGAATTGAGAGCTTGTCCTTGTGGAGAAGGGAAGTTGGATTCTGAAAAAGAAGAGCTAAGCATATCTAGGATTTAGGAGTCTGAAACCATTGCAAACCATTCTAGAAGAGCAGTTAGTTTCTTCAACCTTAAGATTAGGAAAAAGTGCCACTTCAATATGCTTAGCTGTTATACTTCTGTAAGTCTCTTTCAGAAAATATTTGTGATGTTCACAGGATAAAAGAAAACCCTTAATATAAAACATCCATTTGTTATGTCAACAGCTTGAAGATGTGTGCAAGAATTAATTTCTATAGATCCCTTTGCACACAGGTGATAACTTTCTTGCACTGGATCACTTTAAGGCTAAGGCAAAGATTGTTGCCGAGTTTGTGACATGTGCAGCTGAGTGTCTGTAGATATTAGTTCAATTTATTTCTAAATGAGCAAGGGAAGTTTAATATTACAGTAGAGGAAGATTTGGGTAGAATAGTAGTAATAATGCATGGACTGTGCAAAGACCTATTGGAGTCAATCTGAAGATACATCTGTTAGTTGCTGTGTGGGTACTTCAAGTATGAATACATCTGTGATCCTGTGATTGTACGGAGGCTCTTTATGCCTGTGAGTAAAATTCTCAAGATCCACAAGTGAGATATTTACTTCAGCCTCATAGTGGTAGTCTGTGTGTGTGTGTCTCTGTTTGATGTAATGCTAGTATTTAAAAGCTGTGGATTTAAAAATTCATATGTATTATCACAGGCTTGAATTTTATCCATATTATCTGAAACACGTTTATCTACCAGTAAAAACTCATCTATCTATTTTTTTTTTTTTGATAACCAGATCATTAGTCTTCCCAGCTGCTTCTAGTACTTCTTGGTATTCTTTATGCTGCTTCATCGTCCTGGCTGTGTCCATACAGTTCTTTTGTGTGATGTTGCTTTTCTCCCCAAATGTATTTCTGTTAGTTGATGGAACAGTTCTGTCTCGCTTCCCCTCTCAAGAGAGGGGAAGAGGGTTGATAGTAATTGTTTATTTCACCTGAGGAAATTGGTGACTGGCTTTGTTTTGGGAACGAAGTCTTCAGGTTTTCATGAACGTATTCCACGTTTTGCTACCGATCACTGTGACCTTTAATGACTGCAATTAGTAATAAATAGGTAAATGTAGTATGTAGCTAGAGCTGGAGTACTGGAGTTAAGAGGAATAGACAACAGATGTCAAGCAACTTGCTCAAGAGTGATGGGAGATGTCTTGTTTGAGATTCTTGGTGTATCCAAGGATGCAAAACATAAATCATAAATCATGGAAAGTGGTGGAGTTGTTGGCTTTTTTTTTTGTTGAAACCATTCATCTTATGCTTGTCGGAAAATGCATGGGTTTCTCTGTATAACTAGGTATAGTAATGTAGTTTGGTGTAAAAGTGAAAGTCATTTTTATACCAATGGTTAATTTTGAATTTTGTGGTACATTATGATAAGTGCCATAATACTGCATGAGTAACATTTTAGTATTTTCTGGTTTCTGCACGTTATTTTAAAATGCATTAACCTTTTTTACTAAGTGGTGATTATACAAATTTACAAGACTGAGATTTTCAGGTTTTTGAGAAAGTCTTGTGATTAGTTCAAATAACGTGCCTTTAAATTTCTCATTAGTATTCCTCCTAAACCGTGTAAAAACATAAAATATTGAACCAACTCAAAGTACTTGCCTTCCCTAATTCTTTTTGTGTAGTTTGCTTTCCAAGATAGCGTTATAATTCTTTCTTTAGGTATACCTGACTAGACCATTTTCCTGAAAATACTTCTTTTCATTAAAACATTTTGTAGAGCTATTGATATCATTTTGGCAGCATTTTATGCACAAGGATTGAAATTTGAGTTAGCTGAGAGAATTTTATTCTTTACAGTTTTATTTCAGCTGTTGTATTGCAGTGTGCATTCAATAGTTGTTCTGCTAAAGGAAACGAGCATGTCCTTAGCTTGCTGCGCAGATACATGGGCACAGGTGGACATCTTGGTAGTAAGCACCATGCAGTGAAACACATGGCACTACACAACATGGGGCAAAGAGCACACAGTTTGAATTAGAAGCCATTTTATGGGCACCTTGTAAATTTGTGCTTGTTCATATGTGGACTGTGATTTCAAAAAAGGGTGTACGTGTTTCTGTGTTGAACATTTGTGATACTATATATCACTCTAACGCAGTTGTCCTCCCTTTGTGGAGAGAGGTAGTTTAGAGGTAAGCTTGTTTATGCCAGTAGTTTAAAAATTTATCTTTATAACTGCATTTTGTCTGTATTTATAGTAACATTGGCACCCTGTGTACAGAAGATACAGTCAGTGCTGAAAGGAAACTTGCATCCATCTGGAAGCAATAAACTTTTCTAAAAGACTGCACAGTGTTACTTAATCCTGTGATTTCTTACTGTGAGTGAAATTAAGGTTTGGTTCAGTTGTGTCACATCATATTGGTATCAAATTTTTTGTAAAAGCTTTGTCATATTGTTAAGCTACAAACAAAATTTTGAAAGTGATCAAAGTCTAAGGATGTAATTTTCTCAGTTGCAGGATTATGCATCCCTGTAAATGTAGTCAATTGTATACAATAATAATGGAAAGCATATAAAGTACTCGCATTTTGTAAGCTTTCTATTTATATCGAGGACTACATTGTATGCCAATCAGTATTAAGTATACCTTAAATTTTGCATCGTGTTCTAAGTAACTTAAAATTATTTATTTGTACTATACATGTATTGTGGTATAAAGTATATGTACCAAATATAGATACCAAAAATATTTTACCAAGCTTATTGGAAAAATATGAGCAGCGTCCTTAAGAGTAAGTGGAAAAAACATGTATATTGGAAAGCTGATGTAACAAAAATGTGTGTTTTTTTTTTTAAAGTCTGCTAAAGGTGTGTGGTATGGATGAAAAAAATGGGATTCATTCATCCCTGCAGGCAAAATGGTTTAGTTCTATGTTCTCCCTGTTCCTACGTGGCAACTGCACTGCAGTGTGTTGAGGTGCAGGGGGTTGGGGCTTGTCGGACGATTTTAAGGGCGCTGTTGTCATCTCCTGCCCTTGGTCTGCTGTAGAAGGCACAGACAGCGTGATGCAAAGGATGACTGAGGATGTGAAGAAAGCTCCTACAAAAATAAGCTAAAGATGAATGGGGGGGATAAAACCAAATGTGTAGCTGTTAATCAGTGAGAAGTACTTGGATGAGCAGTTGTTAGCTGTGCTTCCCTTTAGATACTGAAAAGCATGAGTTGCTAATATATATGAATTTCCAATAGCTTAAGAAAGGAAATTGTCCTGTATTTAGAATGGGAGATGTCTGTTCTTTTCTTTTCCTGCAGGGAAGGTTGGCTTGAAAGCCTTTTTCAGAACAGGCCAACATTTGGATGGAGCATATCAAGTTCCCTGAATAGGGAATTTAGTGGTATGTATGGATGGTTTGTAAATCTGTATTTGTGGTTGAAGCAGATCTCTTGCCTAGAAGAGTCCAAGTCAGGGTAATCAAACTCAGTGATGTCATATAGCCATGGGCGATGATTTTGATTTATTTTCTCCCATTATTTTCTCAAATGACGAAAGTGAATGTCATGATTGTGACACAAATTAACAGCTGCAAAGCAATGTTTATGTTTAAGACTTTTCATAGGAATATAAAATTAAGCTCATATTTCCTCTCTGGGGATTGTTTAGTATCTTTCACCTGTTCTAGCCTATTGTATTAAATCATGTAAGTCCTTAAATCCCAGTCTTCTGTTTTATTTCCTAAATCTCCTTCTATCTTTCTCCTTTAATTTTATTATGTAATGGTAGTATTATCGGTCTTTGCAATGCTAGTCATTTTAGCTGATGCCTGTGGTTTCGGGCACTTTACAAAATGGCCAAAATCATTGATGCTGGTTGCATTGACAACCCCTTTCATTTGTTCTGTGAAAAGTCCAGAAGTTTCAGGCACTTAACAAAAGGTTTGCTGCTACTCTTCTAATCATATTATGAAATTAAGCAGTAATTAAACCTTGCTTTAAGTCTAAAATATAGAGCTTTCTACGGCAAATGTATCTTCAATGACTTCTTTCTTAGTATGATGTTGATGACAAGACGTAGCTAGTAAAAAGCAAAATCTTTACTACGTGCATCCTATCAAACCGTTCAGACTCGGAATCATTCACTGTCTACCTAGCTTCTTCTTGGATAACATTGTTCTAAACAATATTATTCACAGTAGATCTTCTCATTGAGGGGGTTATTTTTCATTTGGTCATCTCCCTCAAATTCATTGTTAGAAAATGAAGAGGAAACTTTGGTCTTTTCCTTAAGATGGAGTTCTTGTCTGGACCAGTGTTAAGTCTTGTGTTAAGACTTAATCATGCTTTTCTGAGGAGGTATTTCTTCAAGAAGTTATTGGGCTTCTTTGCAAACTCCGTCAGCTTTGGTATGTTTGTTTGACACAGTTCTGCAGCTGGCCTGTACTTCATAGGCAACAAGGTATTTCACTGCTTGAAAACAGATGGAGCAAGTCATTAATGAAAACTTCAGGGGTAGATGTCTAATGAGCCTAAGGAGAAATGTCTTGCCCTCTCCCTGCCAGGCATCACCCAGAGGCAGAACGTTGGGTGGAATCCCAAGTCCTGGGACTCGTTTGTGCTCTCAAGGGAAGTTTGCACGTCTGGCTCCTGTCCAAGTGGTATCAGCCCCAGCAAGGAAGACTGAGCTAAGCTGAGCTGTACTAAGCTCTGCCCTTACAGCATGGGATTAGTTGAACAGATTTAGCCTTGTCTGTCTTTTCATTTCAACCAGAACGAGGCAATTTGGCATTTTTTTTTTTTGGTCCGGAATTTGCTTATTGCCGTTCTGTTAAAGGGACAGTGAAAATAGCCCATATTTTAAACCCCTGAGGATGCGCGAACCCAGGACTTCAAAGACTAAGCTTAAACATTCCCTGAAGTTGCTTTTCCTGCAGTTGCTATGGCGAGGTGGTGCTGGGCATCCACGCATCAGCCCCCAGGTTTGTTTAGGATATTCAGAAGAACAAGGATGAGTTTTAAAATATCTGGTAAAGAACAGAGATTGGAATCAACTGGGCAAGGAGTTTTGGAGGAAAGAGTAACCAGGAACGCAGATGAGACGGGAAAATAAAATGTTGGAAGAAGCAGTCAATTTTTTTTTTTTTTTTTTTTACACTCTGAGTCAAGGAAAGAAGGCTGAGATTCTGGCCTCTACTTTTTGGACTGTTTTATGTTAAACTAATTGCATTAAAAATACCACTGAAGGTACATGTGGAAATAGAGTGAAATGCTTTTGAGGTGAATATCCTCAAATAATGCAATTATGAAAATGATATTCTCTCATAAGCTTTTTCTTTCTAGGACCATTATTCCACTATTCTCTCCTATCCAGGAGGGCAATTTCAACAGGAAGGGCAAAGAGCCACTTCAGCCTGTTCCTACCTACATCTGCTTGGTAGTTAAAACACTTTGCTAGAAGGTAGCTGATACAGATTTAACTACCTAAGGCCAAAAATAGTATAGGACTTAAGTCTCTTGCTTCCTGGAAAAATATGTAAATAAACTGTTATATAGAGGTGGTTGACCCTGTTGTTACCCTGTATTTCAGCCATATTTTATTTTTTATTTTTGCTTGCTTTTTATTTAAAACATGCAAAAATGTATACTGCCTCCTATATATGGTCTGAGCAGATTGAAATTTAAGCATAACTACTTATTTCTGGATCTCAGCTTGTAGACAGGACCAAGGTATAGCTGTGTAGTTTGTGGAATATAACTGTGTAGTTATGGAATAAGCAGGATGAGAGACCTATCTAATAAAAGACCTTTCTAATAATGGTAGGTGTCCACTGGCTGCTGAGTGGATGTTGTTCAGGTTGCAATATTAGATGCATCTACTAAATGTCCACACTATGAATATAGTGAAATTGTAAAGAAATACCCTTAGCAAATAACGGGGTAGTCTTCTGCTTTTTGTAGAATGTGTTTAGACTGGCACAATACCATAAAGACATTTTTAGTATTGTTGTATCTGTCACATCTTTTGTCTAATTTTTGGAAGAATTACTGAATGAAAAAATTGATCAGTGTAATTTCTGTTGTCTAACATAAGCCTTGATCCTACAACTGGGATTTGTTTTGGAGTTTTTTTTTAAGGTTGTATTGAGGGTTGTATAACTGAAGCCTTAAGAATATTTCTGCACCATCAATTATTTCTATAATTTTTTTAGAGGTATCTATGACAGTAGTTTAATATAAGGCGATTTACTTTG